TTAGCATTTAGAACTTGAACCTTCATCAGAGAAAGTAGGAATTGCTGATTAATAAATTCTAAACAAATATCAAATGTTTTCGCAACATCACTCATCATGTAACTTGTATTTTTTTATATTTTTACTGCGAGTGCTATACTATTATTTCAATATTCATTTAATTACTATGTTATTCTATTTCTATATTTATAATTATTGAATATTTTTCTAAATGCGGTCCTGTCAGTTCACTTGTATCTTTTAAACTAAGCAAGACAAGGCAAGAATGTTATTAAGAGACTCATGTTATTTTTTTGTATTATTATTAAATTACTGAACGCTCCACAGAGATGGTAATGGATACAACTTAATTAATTAGATTAAAGATTAAATATTATTTTAATAATTTTCATACATTTATCATAGTATTTATATTACACAATAAGTAGAGGTTGTCAAATTTAATATGATGGTGATGGAATTATTGATTTAGGCGTTGATTTGATCTAATCGTAAGGATATTAAGGACATTTAGTGGACAATTGGTGAATAAAATACTGTTTTTAAATTATTTAAATTAATTATTATTATTGGTATTCTGCTCGATTGCAGATTAACAGTGTCAGAGGACGACATTAATTTACCCGTCTTTGATTTGTTAATCACTTTTTACTCTTAAAACTTCTGTTTTTATGCTACAATGTCTTGTGCTCGACTTTTAATTCTCTGTATTCTATCTTTATTATCTTATCTGTTGGCATAAGTAGTTCTCTCGTAAGTAGTTGGCATAAGTAGTTATCTCGTTTCTCCTTTTTCTTCCATGACAATGTGACAATCATTTCCCAATATGGGTGATTCCAGTTTTCTTCCCTTTTCTCAATCATTATATCCAGTAGATGTAATTTAACTTTTGGCAGTAGTTTTTTATTTGTTACCTTGCTGGTCCATTTATCTTTTTCATAATTATCCAGAATCACATATTGAAGCCCTTGAAGTCTATTTTATTGATTTATCATGGAGTTCATGTCTTTAATTTGCACAGATATTTATTTCAAGTATAGCATTATATAAGTTTATTCTATAAATTAAGGTCCAGTTCACTCATCTCATCTTTTTGATATATTTGGTTCCCAATTGAGTTCTTTTTCTAAGTCCATATTCAATTTGCTCGTTAACTTGCAGATACAGTTTCCTTATAGGAGAGGAAGGATTCCATTTTATTTTGTTTCTTTTGTCTCGGGCAGTGTCCGTTCTTAGTTACATTGCTTCCCTAAAATTGGAAATGATCCACATCTTCCATATCTTGTCAATGTTGATCTCCAATTCCTACCATTTTCTCCTGTCAGCAATTTGGTTCCCGTTTTTGATAATACTACTGGATCATCCACATACTTTATTGCGATGTTTTTTCTGTTTGCAATCGAAAAATTTACAGTTTTTTTGAATGTTTGACTCATTGATCACTCATCAAAATATTTGCCCATCTTTACGTATCAAAATTTCCTGTACATTTTGCAATACCTTAGAAAAAAATGGATGGGTGTGTGTAGTATGTGTTGTATATGTATACAATTTTTCGTTCACGCAACATTCGATTCGTATTGACAGCGAGACGTACTGATTACATTTTGCTACGGCAGGACCAACGGTTTCGGAGATGCAGAAAAAATGCCATTTGGTGGTCAAAAATGATGATTACAGTCAACAATAATGTTGATTCATATACAGATAGAATTATAGGTAGGTAGTGAGACAGGTGGACAGGTACATAGGTACATGTAGAAAGGTACAGGAGGAGAGGTATATAGATAGACAGGTATATTAGAAATGAATAATAAAGTCAGGTAAGCAGTGGACAGTTGACCTGATAGACAAGTAGACAAATAGGCATAAACTAGTAAAAGGACATATAGTAAGACTGACTGGTAGACAGAAATGCAGACAGGCAAACACGCGAGCAGGTAGTTAGATAAACAGTTGGGAAAGTAGACCATATATAACTCAGGATTTTTGATTAAATCGATTATTCAGACTTATCGGCAAGTTCATGCGAGTTTATACATAGCAAAATGCTACTTACAAACTTATTTATTTTGGTAGTACTGCCCTAGGGCAGGTCCGCAAGTTGAGTTAAACTCCAACTTGATTCAGGTGACAACATTGTGATAGATTTTCCATAGCCATTAAAAACATATTTTTGATCTATATTTTCAAGTGTAAATGAACATCGGTGCTGCCAGGATGTCGGGTTGTCCAGAGTGGTTTGAACTCACGACCCCGTCCACCATTACATTATAGAACACCCATATTACCTTATCATCACAGCCAACAATTCTGATAATTTCACATATTATTCGAACTTGATTAAATTACTTATCTAATTATTATTTTATAGCTACGGCGAGCGTTCATCATGCGATTTTTCGGTATGCCAAGAAGAAGAAGAACTGCCTGTAGATTGCGAAGTAGAATGCGAAGCTGAATGCGAACTTGTATGTCCAACTGAACCTGCACCTGAATGCGTACCTGAATGCGCCGACGAATTGTCAGTTTCGGCAGATTCTTGTGGAGACTATGCAACGTTTGCGAGGAGATACACATTAACCGATAATATTTACAGGTAAGCAATAAGCATTATTAATGACAATAAATTTTTTTGTATATATATATATATATATATATATGTGTGTGTGTGTGTGTGTGTGTTTATGTGTGTAATTGTTATGCATTCATAAACCATACGTCCTATTGAGAAGTTAAATATTAGATTTAATTTAATTTTTTACTTGATGATGATTTATATCTATTTTATTTATCTAAAGAGACGGTACGCCCGAAGCGATAATGGCCGATGAAACGACTCCGTTGATTGGGGCGATGGGGCGCGCTCCTTCGCTCGCCATCAGCGAGTTACGTGGGGGAGCACAGCAAGACAGCTTTGAGTCGGCCGCGATCCCGCTTCCGGGCCCGCCAACCACCACGCTTCCGGTCCCGTACCCGATCCCGCTTCCGGGCCCGCCAACCACCACGCTTCCGGGCCCGCCAACCACCACGCTTCCGGTCCCGTACCCGATTCCGCTTCCGGGCCCGCGCTCGATTCCGATCCCGCTCTCAGGCCCGATTCCTTTGCCGGCCCTGCCCCCAATACCTGACTCGACCCGCAAATCGGCTCGAAGCCAAGTTCTAGCACCGTACGGCACCGAAGCCCTAGCCCCGATCGGAAACCAAGACCAAGCCTCGATAAGAACTCAAGACCTAACTTCGATAGGAACCCAAGACCGATTCTCGATAATAACCCTAAACCCAAGCCTAGACTCAGCTCCGATGGAAACCCGAGCCGTAGTCCCGATGGGATATCAAGCCATAGCTCCGATGGAAACCCGAGCCGCAGTCCCGATTGGAATTCAAGCCATAGCCACGATGAAGACCAAAGCCCTATCCCCGATGGGAAGCCAATCCTTAGCTCCTAGGACCCAAACCCTATCCACGACGCAAACCCAAACCAAAGTCATAAAGAGGATCAGAAACCAAGCCCAGGCGCGGAACCAAGGCAAGCCCAGTCGCGGACCCAAGATCCAGCCCAGTCGCGGACTCAAGCTCCATCCACGTCGCGGGCCAAAGCCCCAGCCCGTGACCCGACGCGGAGCCAAGCTCACTCTGACCCGACCTCGGCCCGAACCCCGGTCTGGCCCTCAAACCGAGTCCCGGTTCCGGACAAGATCATAGAACCGTCCAAGTCACTTCGAGAACCGGACGACGAAAGCGGTATGTGAATTGAGAATTCATATTTTGCATGTTCCATTTATAATTGTTGATTGGTTGGCTGGTTCTTCGCTTACTATACACATAGTTTATTAACTTTCCGTGGAGTAAGTTATTGTAATTGTCCAAAAATCGAAATTGAAAATTTTTACATTTGAATTTGAAAAAAAAATTGGAGCTTTATGGAACTTTTTTTGGCGATATATATCATGATCTTATAAAACTTACTGAAATATTACGGTCTTACGATAAGTGGTTTTAATTTTTAAAATTCATCAAAGTTTGAGAAAATTAGTAGTTTTTCTGACGTTTATTAAGATAAAATTAGACGATTTACTTGGTATACCGATAGAGTACTTGGTCTTGATGAACATACTAAACCATTAAAGTCCTACGGAAACTGGTTCAATTATAAAAATTACTGATTTGTGAAAATTTGCTTCTAGAAAATACTCCGAGATACCGTGTTCGTTCATTTTTAATTATGTGTAATAAATCCACTCGGAATACTTTTAATCACTTATAAATTAATTTATTTTTTATTGATTAAGTAGATTATTTACACATATTGGAAAGTTCATGTAACTTACCTCAAGGCAAAATACTAATACCAGTTTTATTTTATACTAGTTGACCCGGAAAACGTTGTTTTGCTTAGTAAGGTATATTCTAAACAATTCTAGAGAATCAAAATTATTAATACTTTAAGGATGTGTTGTTTGAATGCTATATACAATGAAGTATTATAAAAACTATAAACCCCTTTAATTTGTCTATATTTTGTCAATACAATCAAACTGGAAGATTTATACACTTTCTATAGAAAACATGGTATAATCCAATCCAAGTCTGTTTTGGTCTTTCGACTTATTGATTACGTTTCAAGTTTTTCAGATTCCTTTTGGATTCTGGATTTTGTGTATAATTGTAAATAATAGAAAATGAATTAAGTATTTCTTCTTTGACCTGCTTTTTGGAAAGTTTCAAGTAACATTCGATGAATCAAAGTAAATTTAAAACCATAACAATTATATCGCAACAAATAACACATATCAAACGAACAATTATCTGACTACGTTCAGTAAACTGCCTCCCACTTCATCATTGTAGAAATGTGCTTTTTTGATGTTTTTCAAAAATTTGTTATCCAGACTTTTCTACCATATAGGCGAAGTAACTTGAAACGGACAGGTGGAAAAAAGGTTTAAAACCTTATTATAATTTTAAAGGTATTTTACAAAATAATTACATTTTTAACTAATGCTGAAAAACTACCAACGGAAGAAAATACTTTTATTATGGATTTTCAAAGATTACCGTTTATCTCCCCCATTTCAAAGATTACCGCTTTCAAATAAAGGTTGTAGCTGGTTATACATCTTTTTTCCTCTACTTTCAAATATTGTTGTTAAATAATGCTTAACTTTACTGATTTTTGACACATTGGTGGTGGACCTTTTTAACCCCGGACCTTCATATATTACTATCTATTTTTCAATAAATTCTGGGAAATTATAACTGGGAAAATGTTATTCGACAAAATGTCCATTTGATCGATACCAAATTTAAGTTCTGAATTTAAATAACATAAATAAAAAATAATATAACATAGAAAATGTTTTATAAATACCAATGAGTATATAATTATACAAATGAGATCTTTCAGAGCACCGTGTTTGAGAAAAATATGCCAAAAAGTGCATTTTCATATTAACATTTCAAAAAGGTTGATATTTTGAGTTTCTGGTAACACTTGAGGCCCGTTTAATAACGTTTTTGTGTACAAATAAACTACAAACAAAAGAATTTACTACAATTTAATCATTATTAAATAATATTCACGTAAGACATCCTATCAAACGTATTTGAACATCATCTGTCAAAAACCTTTGACACTTGCCACCGTCCATTGTTTTATTTAAATTGCGCTTCTACAAAAATTTTCAAATTAAAAATGTAAAGTTTCTGCGCGATTTTGAAATAATATCTCACCTTTTGGACTTTCCCTGGATTGGCACGAATTTCTCAAGACTAAGAATGGCCAAATCGGTTTAGCCGTTTTCGAGTTTTACTTAGACATTTGAAAGAGAGCTCCATTTGTATATATAAGATTTACAAATTGACCAAAATACATAGCTGGTTCTGTCTTTAAAATAAAAAAGTATTAATGTCATCTTTTTGTTTATGTTTGCAGTTAAGATTGTTAATAATGATATTGATTTTTAGAACTAACTGAGACATCATCTGATCTATCATCCTCAATATCAAGTGACGAGAGCGATGACAATCGGTCGCTATTCAAAGATAGCGCTGACGGTCCTTCTGGTTCCGATGGCGAAGTAGATCCTCCACCATCTCGTGTAAAGAGAGTCTCCACCATAGCTACTTCAACCGTCAGATCTTCGACGCCGTCGTCCAGTGAGCAGACCTCAAGAACTGATTATGACATCATGGATGGGTCATGGAATGATAATGATGCGGCACCTTCCGGGTATCTTTATGATGATGGTAATCTGAGTAGTGATGCTGTTGATATCGTATATAGTGGTGATGATAGTGATGACGAAGTGTCGTCTATGGTGTCAGATTCTATTGACACTTCTTCGAATCCGACGTCAACACCCCATAACAGCGATTAGATGATAAAATTATGAAAGAAATTTAATGTTTATTCAATGATTCTAATATAATGATTTACCCAATAAAATTATTTTATTTTTCAGAAGAAGATTTTCAGAATATCCGACTTGCTAATTTTATGTTTTCTCGACATTTTAAGTCATGTCCAATCGTTTGAGACCGATAAAAAAAATATATGTACGTGAGTGTATTGAAATGTAATGCTGGTTGGTTGGTAACGCGGTTGGTATTGACCTCCTTGTCAATACAGCCTTGCCGAGAGGTGGTTATAGTAAAAGTAGGCCTCGGATGCCTTGAGCTCTTAATAAAGATATTGGCTGAAATATCTTGTCACTTCTAAGAAACAACACTGATTGACTACTTTTAACTATACTTTATTAGAACCCACTTACAACGATTAACTATTATTTTATTAACGACTAATACCGCGACTCTGGCTAATCGCACAATTCCATACTTTATATATCCACAAAGTAGGACTGCAAACACCTTACGATGGCGTATTTAAAATATTTGCTGATGGTTATAATGACTGCAATCGATATCGAATTTAAGTTAATTGGCATATCAGCATTGCTATTACACAATACAGCATTATCGATTGCTATTACACAATAGTATATATGAATGCCTTCTCAAAAATTATTGAACCGTTAAAATATCTTGCTAATTTTATGTTTTCTTGACGTTTCAAGTCATTCTGAAGCGATTGAGATCAAGCTTGGAAATTGTATGTGTGTGTGAGCCCATTATTCAATTATCGAAACGGTGTCTAAGAAGTTTTACTTTAAAAATAGTAAATACTATTGTAAGTATATAAATCGTCGAGAAAAAACTATAAAGTATTTATTTTTAACTTTCCTTTCTGATTTATATATAGTATTTGGTTAACTAACTTTTTAACTTCCCGTAGGGTAAGTTATTGTAATGGGCCGAAAATCGAAATTGAAAATTTGTACATTTTCTCGACGTTCTGAAGGTTTCTGAACATTTTGTCATACCTCAGAAAAAAAGGATGTGTGTGTGTGTGTGAGTGAGTGTGTATGTATGTATGGATACAATTTTTCGTCCACGTTTTCGGGCGCACGGATCAACCGATTTGAATGGTTCAAAAAACATTCGATTCCTATTAATAGGGAGATGTGCTGATTAGTTTTTGGCAAAGGCAGGTCCAGCCGATTAGGAGATACGGAGCAAAGAGTGCGGAAAATAGAAATAGAGTTTTTAGAGATCGGAGCGTCCGATTTGAATGATCCCAAAAACATTCAATTCGTAATGACGGGGAGACGGGGTGATTAGTTTTTGGCAAAGGCAGGTCCAGCGGTTTCGGAGATACAGAGCTAAATGTGCAAAAAATGGTAGTTTTTGAGAGAACTAAGCGTCCGATTTGAATGATTCCAAAAACTTTCTGCTTGTTTTAACAAAATAATTGATTTTGGAAAAAAAATTTTTTGTTTCAAAATTTTTTATCAATTTTTTTTTTTCAAAAAAATTTTTTTTGTATATCGAAAATAATTCAGATTTTTATTTTAATTCTGTTCTAATATACTTTAAACAAATAATTTCAACTTTCCAATTTAGTATATATAATTCTTATAAATATAAATAGACAATGTTACAGTATTCATAATAATCTATTTTAAAACATTTAATATTCCTCGATCATTTTGTTACGGTACGGGAAGTTCCAGCAATTTGCCTTAAGGCACGATGCCATACACCCCACTAGTTTAGTTCAGATTGTTTGTTCAATTTGTTTATGATAAAAAAAAATATTTTCTTTACGTTATAGTAAAGACTATTAAATTACGTACTATTAAGTTATAGTAATCACAAACAATTGAAAATGAAAATTTGTGCATATCTTTACGTTTCCAAGCCCTCATGATATTTTGGTTTACCTTAGAAAAATTGGATGTATGTGTGTGTATTAAATATGCGCTTATCATATCCGAAGCCGGATCGGTTAGGATTTGACTCCGCTTGAGAGAGGAGTTATATCCACTTAACAACTCCATGACTCCGACAACTTTGAAACATAATACTTGACACAAATGTGTTTTCTAGTGTGTTGTTAACATATCTAAGGATTTATTAAGATGTCAGGCAGCAGTGACAACGATTTTCACTTGGAAATATAGATAGCAATATGTTTCCAAGTGAAAATAGCTCTCATCCGCCATTGCTGCACCAATAAAAAGTCAGCCCTATTAGATTAATTCTAATAACAAAAATCATCAAATATGGATGGATTAACCATTGGGTTACCATCTAAAAATACGAAGTAAGGAGAAGTTTCAGCCCAACAGCTCATAGGACGTAAGGTTCTGATTGCTGTTAAAAATATATATAAAAGAAAGAAATATGGGTTTCGTATCAAGATTTGTAATGTTAAACGATTAGACTGCCACGCGGTGTTTGCGCGCTTCGATATTTTGTTTCTAAAACAGCTACGTAGCGCGAATGCTTTGCAAAGATGTTCAAAACCTTCAAAAAATTCCAAAATATAGAAAAATTTTTCTAAAGCTCTCAAAAATCTAATTTTATCAAAGTTTTCACAAAATGATGAAGTTTTAAAAAAATTAAATTATGGTACGGGAAGTACCAGCAATTAGCGTTCAGGCACAAAGCCATGCACCACTATTCCATTTTTAATTTGCAATTTTTATACAATAAGCAAAGATCAAGTACTTACCCATGTTAATGAGCACAATTCCAAACATTCTTCCTTCGATGAATTCCCAAGGCATAAGATTCGAAATACGGTAGCATTTGCAAAACAAGTATGCATACCTCGAGGAATAGATTAAAATTCTTATTCCGATATCAGAGCAGAGCAGAGCACGGGCTGGGCAGAAGGCCACCACCTGGATCCATCGGCCAGCAACAGGTCGCCAGCTGTCTTATTAAAAGAATTAGCGACGATGATAATATTGGATGCGCATGCCGGAGTGCCGGGACTGAGTTGACACGATTTGATTTGCTGGTTTGATATATATAATAATATTAGCAGAACGCGATCTGAAGACGAGATATTGATAGAAGGAAGGAAGCAGAAACACCTGATGCCACGGGGAAGCGAATTGTTTTTATAGTTCTATATTTTTAACTTCCCGTAGTGCAAGTTATAGTAATCGCAAAAATTTCGAAAATGAAAATTTTTATATATCTTTACGTTTCAAAGGTTTCTGAATATTTTGGCATACCTTAGAAAAAATTGATGTATGTGTGTGTATCTGTGTGCGTGTATGTGTGTGTGTTCGGATACAAATTTTCGTCGACGATTTCGGGAACACGCATGAAGCGATTTGAATAATTCAAAATACATTCGATTCGTATTGATAAGGAGACGTGCTGATTAGTTTTTGGCGAAGGCAGGTCTATTTCAAAATCCTAAATCCAATTCAAAAAACATTTTACTTGTATTAATAAGATGAAGAACTGATCAAATTTTCATGAAACCACAGGTCTAGTGGTTTCGGAGATCTAGTAAAAAAAGTAAAAAAAATGCCATTTGGCGCTCAAAAATGACCATTAGACATATGCACATCAAATTATCACATATTTTATAGAGATTTTAACAATTAGTATAAATTTTGTTTACATTCCTTTGGATTCCGTACCAATGTTTATCCGTTAGACGGCGACGCGGCGCTTACCGCTTTGACATTTAGTCTCTATTTAAAGTTAGCTTCTAGTTAAAGCAGTACGATTGCTTTGAAAAAAAGTTCAGAATTTCTAAAATATTTCAAAATAAATTTTTCTTCAAAAAGTCTTTTTCAAAAAAAAGTAAATTTTTGTCAAAAATTTATAGTTTCTCAAGAATCTAATTTTTTCAGAGTAAATTTTTTTCAAAAATGTTAATCTTTTAAAAAAAACTAATTTTTGGTACCGGAAGTTCCAGCAATTTGCTTTAAGGCACGATGCCATGCGCCCCACTAGTTAATTAATCTATAGCCAATATCTATCTTATTAACTCTCGTAGTAAGTTATAGTAATTGCAAAAAAATCGAAAATACACTTTTTTGCATATCTTTACTTTCAAATGTTTCTGAACATTTTGGCATACTTTAGATAAAAATTATGTATGTGCGTGTGTGTGTATGTATGTGCGGATACAGTTTTTCGTCCACGATAAACAAATTCGAGAACAAATCAATCGATTTTAATGATGAAAAAGCATTCGATTGCTATTGATAGCCAATATCTATCGTATTATCCTCCGGTAGGGTAAGAGTAAGTTATAGTAATAGCAAAAAAAAATGGAAAATGAAAATTTTTGCATATCTTTACATTTCAAAGGTTTCTGAACATTTTGGCGTACTTTAGATAAAAATTATGTATGTGCGTGTGTGTGTATGTATGTGCGGATACAATTTTTCGTCCACGATTTCGAGAACAAATCAACCAATTTTAATGATCCAAAAAGCATTCGATTTCTATTGATAAGGAGACGAGATGATTAGTTTTTGGCACAGGCTGGTCCAGCCGTTTCGAAGATTTGGGGCAGAAAATGCCAAAAATGGTTTTTAGTATTTGGAAGAACGGAGAGTTCGATTTGATTGATTCAAACAATTTGTTTCTATTGATGAAATGAAGTACTGATTAAATTTTTGGAAAGTTTAGCGGTTTCAAAGATTAAGTAAAAAATGTGAAAAAAATGCCATTTGGTGATCAAAAATAATCATTGCAATATTAATATGCATTTCAATCATATAATTAGATATTTTACTAACGTTGTATGGTCGTCTTAAAAGTACACATGTTGTGCCCATTTATTTTTGGATGCCGTCCCGAGATTTTTAGTTTCAAATGTCCTCGATTCGAAATTTTAATAATTTTCGAAAAAAATTCAAAACTTAAAAAAATCAAGTATTTGAAAAATTTTAATTTTTTTTTTAATTCTGATTTTTCAAACAATTCCAAAAAAAAATAATAATAATTAAAAACAAAAATTAAAAATTTCAAAATTTACAAAAAACTAGATTTTCAAAAATAT